AAATGTTTTAACTTCCTAAAAGTAAATATTCTCAGTTAAATGGTATAAAGTATATTAAAATAAAAGATTAAATTCTTCTTGAATCTTGTATCAGGTTACATACCAACTAATAATAAATGAGGATATACATCAGCCACATTATTAAAAAGTCTTGATTTATAACTAATACTAATAAACACTTTTGTGTTTATTTTGGCCAGTCCGATGACTATGTGTCATGGTGTTTGCCTCTTGTGATAAATCTCCTAGGAGTTCTTTGAGCTTCTTGTACCTGGATATCTAGATTTCTAGCAAGGCCAGGGAAATTTTCCTCCATTATATCCTCAAATAATTGATCCAACCCTCTTGTATTTTGTTCTTCACCCTCATGGATGACTATGATTCTTATGTTAGGCCTCTTCACATAATCCCACATTTCTTGCAGGCTTTGCAACTTTTCTCTTATTTCTCTGCTCTATCTCTGCAACTGACTTGTTTCATTGAAAGGTGTTATCTTCAATCCCCGAGATTCTTTCTTCTGCTTGATCTACCCTATTCTTGAGGCTTTCCACTGTGTTTTGTAGTTCCTTGAATAAATTCTTCATTACTAGAAGTTCTGTTTGATTTTTCATTAATGTTTCAATTTCTTTAGTGAATTTTTCATTCATTTCCTGGATTTTTTGGAGTTTTCTTTGTGTTGGGTATACATCTTTTCTTGCATTTCATTGAGTTTTCTTACAATCCATGTTTGATATTCTTCATCTGTCATTTCAGTGTCCTGATTTTGGTTGGTGTCCATTGCTAGAGAGGTGGTGTTCCCTTCTGGGGGTGTGCTTTCACTTTGATTCTTCATACATCTAGAGTTCTTTCTCTGATTCCTTCCCATCTGGAGCAGCTATTGCTTCTTACCTTTGGATTTTTGTTTAGATAATGACCGGCCCAGTTTAGTCTCTGAATCAGTACGTGGTGCTCGTTGGTGGGAATTGACCACACCATGTGTGATGAGTCAGTAAATGCAGTAAAAGCATATGCAGATTGACCTCCTTGTCAGTAGGTGGTGCTTGGCCAGGAGGAGCAAGCTTCGATGTTGTTTTTGGGTCCTGGGAATAGCTCTAGTTCCTCTGGAGGAGCACTCTAGTGCCCCAGGTGGTGGGTGGCACTCTGGGACTTCCAGGTGTGTCCTTATTCTCTACCTCAGCAGGGGCAGGTGGGGGAGTGAAGCTAGGTGGGGCTGGGTTGGGTGAGTCTGCCCTCAAGCTCCACAAAAAATGCCTTTGGCAGGGGTCAAAGGTCTGTTCCCTACCTCTGGGCAAAGCTGCCAGGGAGGGGCCAAAGTGGCGCCACTCGGCCAAAAATTCTGCATGTGGAGGTGGGGTTGTCTGAGATCCACAGTCTGGCAGTCTGGAGCAGGCCTTGTTCTTTCTACCCTACCCTATTCCGTGGTTTCTCCTGGACTTCTGTTGGCAGGCAGGACCTCAAGCCAGCTGAGCTTCCCTATGACTATGATGCGGGCTGGTAGGTTCCCTGCCCAGGATCCTGGCCTGAGCTGGGAATGTGGCCTTCTCATGGGAGGAGAGGTACCCCTCAAGCACACTGCCACTAGGACCCACTCTGATCTTCCCCTGAAGGCACATACACCTCAGTAGACTAATTCACATATATTCCCTCTGTGCCTCCGGGCAACATGATCAAGACCTGGGTGTGCAGGATCTGGCCTGTAGGCCTGTCCCCCAGGCCCAAGAGATCAATCCCAGACCATGCCAGGGAGAAGAATACTGGTCCCAAGTTACCCATAGAGGCCCAAGCTGGATCAATCTCCTTCTGCCTTGGGGTTTTTCCTGCTCTGCAGGAGTCACCAGACAAGTAGCACCAGGAAGGAATGGCGGGTAGGGAGTTCACAATCTGAGCACCCCTCAGTCCACTGCAGGGCCCCAAAAGGAAAGGTCCAAGCCCTGTTCCCTATGGATGCCTCCAGGTGGTGGCTAAATTGTCTGTCTCGGCAGCCGTGAGTAGGAGAGGGAAGGGGAGAATGAAGGACTAGGTGGAGGCAGGATTGCATACTGGTAGTCACCAACCCTCTCTCAGGGAGGTAGTCCTCCCTGAATGACCAGGCTCTAGAGTCCCGCAGATCTCCCAGGACCCACTGGACCCCTGTGGCTCCTGAAATCTGGGCCGGAGTTGGGAAATGTCTATATGGGGATGAGCAAGATGGATCCTGAGGAGTTGAAGCCCCCCAGGAAGGACAAGGGTGCCTGGTGGGTAGAGAAGCAACATGGCACCTGCCAACCAGCCAGGGTCTGTGGGGCGAGAGGCACCCTGAGGGAGCTGGGAACCTGGTGCCCTGTCTGCAAGATGCTCTCCGCTCACTGGCACCAGTAGTCTGTTGGCTGGTGTCAGCAGCAGCTTGGGAGCCCACCAGCAGTCCAAGATGCAAGGGAGGGGAATTTTAACCACTCCACCTACCTTTCTCTCTAATCTCGAAGCCTCTCGGTTTAATCCCTGCTGTTGCCTTTCTTCTTACAATTCCTCTACAGAATCTCTTCCTGTGGAGTCTCCGGTAGGTTGAGGCACCCTTCCTTCCGACCCTCATCTGATCTATGTTTGGCTGTCTGATTTTTTCTTTTTCGTCTCTTTTCATCCTTGCAGAGATGCTCTGGCTGAAGGTGTTTCTTGTCTGCCATCTTCTTGCCTCTCCTCCCCTATAAATACATTTTTTCTAGCAGCTCCTTCCAACTTCATGCTCTCTAACTAAATAGTATATAACTTAGTATCATTTACTAAAAACTAAAGCCAGCTAATGGAGATGAAGCTTAAGCACTGGATGACCATTCCTATCAGTTCTATTCCACTTCCTCTTCTCTGAGGTAGTCACTAAAAACAGGTTTTGTATAATTTTTGTGGTGTACTCCCTATATATTATATTAATATATTCATAAACTATAATTTTATAAGTTACAAGGAAAAGTGTATGTCTATATAATTATATCAGAAAAGAATAAGAATTAATAATGTTTTTTTAAATTACATGTATTAATTGGTAATACTTTCCTAGCTTACAGTTGATATACAGAGCTTAACTATTATAAGATCAGTAGGGTCATAGGCAGTGAGTTAATCATCGGAAATGCGATAGGTTATTACACAACTAATGTTCAATATAGGGTATAACTTTAAAAAGACTTCATTTTCAGTGACAAATACTCTAAAATAATAAAATTAATAAAAGAAAACATTTATATTATGCATACTATGTTCCACACATTATTCTAGTGATTTGCATTAATGCCCTTACATTAATACTCAGGTATTACAAACACTATTATAGAGTAGATACACTTAGCCTTCCCTTTTTATGCTCGATGGGACTGAGGTGAAGAATTTATGTAATGTGTTCATGACATTCTTACAAAAATATGATTTAATTTTATTTCAAAGGAGAATTTTTATTATTTTTATATCCAGAAAACTCAACAGTGTACCTTTAACCCAGTTTAGTGGCAAGTTCTTTAGCCTTTACCTTTTACAGCATAGCAATGCAAGCCACAGATTTGGGATCTAGGATGTGGCCTCCCCAGTGACAGCAGATCTCTTCCTATATCTTTTCATAATTGGTTCTGACAATTTCCACTAGCTTAGCCAGAGCTCCTTTGTCTTCAGTAAGAGACCCCTGTCTTGCAACATAGGGCAGGCAGAAAGACAACCAGCTTGACGGGATCCATGTCATGTGCAGTCACCACCAGCTGAGCCTTCTTGTTCTCCACCTAGGTGGTGACAGTATTAATCCTGCTCAAAGGACATATGGTCCCTTAGTGGGGACATTCTCTTTGTTGGCAGCTTTCTTCTCAGCCTGGGACAACAGTCTCTGTTTCTTCTTTTGCTTTGTCTTTGGCCTGTACTTGTGAACCAGCTTAAGCAGTTGAGCGGCTGTTTGGTGGTCCAAGGCCCGGGTGAATTGGTTGAACGCAGGAGGCACTTTCAGCTACTTATAGAGAATAGCCCTTTGTCACTGCAGCTGAGGTAGTGGGGCCACTTGACAAAGCAGGTGAGGTCCCTTGGGGCTGGATGGCCTGTCCAATGCTAAAATTCTTAGGCCTTTTCTCAAACAAGAGCTTTACCACCTTCTTGGCCTCCTGCTTCTTCCTGACAGCAGGGGTCAAAGCTACCTTTTTCCCCTTCACCTTTCCTTTTGGCACCTTGGAAGAGAGCAGAAAAATGTAGTTTAAAGCAAACTTTCTACTATTAAACATGTATGATTCAGAGATTACTGGTTAAAAATTTTTCCATGGTGCAATTTGTATACCATAGACTCCTTAAGCTTATTGAATGGAAAATAGGTTTAGGTTTACAGAAGACACAGCATGTATACATTTAAATCTCAGGAAGAAATTTGCTCATGTGGACATGAGTTTTCCTGGGGTATAATTGGGAGTTGTACATATATGATTATTCTATAACCTAATTTTCGCTATTACCATGCCCTGAAAAATAACTTAGCTCTGCATTTAGAATTATTAAAGTATTTATAATTCAAAGCCTAGCTTCCGGGCTTTTTTATTTTTCCTTATCTAGTACCAAATCAACCCGTAGCTTCTTTCTTTAATTTTTACTTTAGCCAAGGTTGACTGAAAATATTTTCGAGTGTGTAATTTTTATTTCCACAATACCCCTGATGAATAACGTCCCTTCTGACTTGTCAGCCTCACACTTTAATCAACATGGGTGATTCCAGCATGCACTTGATACCACAGGCTCAAGCCAGTTGCAGAGAGTACAGTTCCTCTGTACCCTCCCTCTAGTCTATCCCTCTTCTCTTAGGAGCTCCCTGTCCTTTCCCTCACGGTGGGTAGTTACAAGGTTTGAATAAAAATAGACCACCTAGAAGGGATTAAATATCTTATGTGTTTATCATATTTGATTTTTTTCTTTTTTTGAGACAGGGTCTCACTCTGTCATCTGGGGTAAAATGCAATGGCATCATCATAGTTCAGAGCAACCTCAAACTCCTGGGCTTAAATGATCCTCCTGCCTCAGCCTCCTGAGTAGCTGAGACTACAGGCATATGCTACCATGCTAATTTTTTCTATGTTTGGTAAAGATGGGGTCTCACTCTTGCTCAGGCTGGTCTCAAACTTCTGAGTTCAAGTAATCCTCCTGCCTCAGCCTCCCAAACTACTAGGATTACAGGCGTGAGCCACCACGCCCAGACTATCATATTTGAAATGGTGTACTCTTGATTCTTGGTAGCTCAATATCTCACTTGTCTATTGCTGCGGTATAGTTACTGCTACTACTACTGCTGTAATCCTTTCTTTTGTGCATTTTTTGTGTGAAAAGAGTTTTCCTGTCCTTTCAGAAGTGAAGGGTGGTCCAGGAAGATTTTCAGCTCTAGAGTTTCCTTTTTGTTGCTTTTTCAAGTTATCAGAAATCTGCCCCTTCCTTTTATCTGAACCTTTCCTTCCTTTTATCTGTATTGTTTATTTTGTGTTCAGCAGTCCCTCCCAGCAGAATACAAATGCAATTTTTCCCCTACTTCTACTAGTTTTGTACCTAGGTTCTTTGCACTCACTTATAAATTGGAGTCTGCAGAACTACTTTCAGTTTCAGATGCTTTTCTCAGAATGGTCTGCTGATCTTTCCAGTGTGTATCTGTTGACGTTTGGGGCTTCTCCTCCTCTGCAGCCTTGGTAATGTCTTGCTGACTTCCTTCTGCATCTTCATGCACAGAGAAGCGGGAAGTGACAACCAACCAACAGCTCCCAGATCCATTTGAAAAAGCCAAAAAAGGAATTGTCACAAAAGACTGGTTATTACATCAAGATATGGATATAAAGCTTAGTGCAAAATTGTTAGTCTTACTTAAAGAGATGATATTTTAAATAAACATAGAAGCAAGCTAATAATGATTCAAGAGAATGTAAAAGCTAAACACACACATAAAAATCAATTTTTTCCTTTATCATTTATAAGCTTTTTGTTCATTTAATTTACTTTTATATGTTATTTGGATATATACAAATAGGTGAGTTTAAAGCTTTTACCTTTACTTTTAATACATAATTAGACAATGTATATATAATTGAATATAACATACTAACAAACTATAAACATTTTTTTGTTAAACAGACAAAATATAGTCAAATGAGATAGTTTACATTATTTTGTTCAGATAGAGACTTTGGAATTCAGTGAATACATTACACATAAGAGCATAGCTCAGTCTAAATGCTAATTTCATCAGAAATATTTGATCTGCATTTGGATTTCATCTAAAATTTACAGTTGAAAAAGTAGTTTCACATACCCAAGTTGTTGCAAGCATACTAAAATGTTTCCCCAAAACTGGATTAAGTATCGGTTTGTTAAATT